GGGGGGGGGGGGGGGGGGGCGCATCGATTTTCCCTCTTCCTTCTACTCTGTACTGGATTTTTGGTGAAAGAGCTTTCGCCCTACCATCGTCCATCGAACTGAGCGCACCCTAGCTCTGGTTGTACATGTCTGCCGGGAAGGATTTGTTGATGAGGGTGTGTTGTGTTCGGGGGAAGAAAATAGCGTCCTGTTCCTTGTACGGGCTTAGGTACGGTGAATGTATTGGACGAAGCACTGCGAGCATGGTAAACCGAAAACTGGGGCGTAGGTTGAAGCGTAGCTGAGTAGGTAGCTGGATCAGCCTGGATGTATATGTATATACAAATGCAGGCTTTTCTCCCCCACTGGATGTGTCAAAAATCGAAAAAACTTAAAATTAATATGCGCATAGATGCATAACGAGAGCGACAGCGAGCGAGCGAGCGAGCGACACAGATAGAGAGAGAGAGAGAGAGAGAGAGAGAGAGAGAGAGAGAGAGAGAGAGAGAGAGAGAGAGAGAGAGTCTATGTGCGTGAGCATGATATACATCCACTCTGATTTCACTGCGTGTGTGGTTTTGGATTGCGTTGCGCTACTTGTCCGCCACCTGTCCCCGTCCTCCCGCGTCCGCCTGCTGCTTCTTCATTTATCAATGTGGGAGATGAAGATAAACATTATGCGTCCGCCTTCGTCGTAGCTACCCCCCCCCTGGTGGAAACGCATTATGTGTTTATGGGTGTATATGTGTTTTGCGCTTGCGGGCGTGCAGGGCGTATGCGCCCGTGTGCGTGCTCGGGTCGCTGTCAGACTCTCTCTCTCTCTCTCTCTCTCTCTCTCTCTCTCTCTCTCTCTCTCTCTCTCTCTCTCTGTGGCCGAACGGTGGCAGGGAGGCCATCTCCTCCTCAAGCTTGATTGCAGATCGGGCTGCCTCCCCTTGCATTCCGTCCCACAGGGAAGCCGCCGGTGGGTTCCTGCTCCTACTACAGCCGCTTTCACCCGAATAGAACGAGCGCGTGCGTCTAGATACAGTGATAAAGACCGTGCGTTGTACTCAGGGGAAGACAGTACTCTTCTCTATCCGACGGACGTCGCTTTTGCGTCTGTTGTCTTCTTCTTCTTCTTCTTTTTTTTTCGTGTTGCAAAACCATTGCTTTCTCTAAGATCGACAGCAGAAATATTGTCGGGTCCAAATATATGTTGCACCGCAGCTTTGCCAGGTCCACCGAGTTTCCCAGCAAAAAATGTTGTCTTTTCCACACTTTGCCAGCACAGGACCCGTCGGCCTCTGGCCTCACGGACTTTCAGGGCCTTGCCACAACACTGTCGAAAACGCGATTTTCGATCTTTGGGCCTCGCTCCACTACTCTCGAGATGCACAACAGACAAAAATGATGGCGGTGTATCTTTCCATGTTCTAGCGGAAGATTCACTCTCAGTTTGCACATTTCGAGAGTTGTGGAGCGATCCCCTTTCTCTTGACCACACACAGGCTGTCGAAATTGGAGACGTGAAGAAAATTGGCATGTTGTCAGAGAATTCTTCAACGCCTTGCGACAGGAGGAGGTGTAGAGAACTTGAAGAATTAATATATTTTTTTGAAATAAAAATATTAAAAAAAATTAAAAATCTTCAAGTTCTCTACACCTCCTCACCCAGCCTCCTGCTACGCCGATGATTTCGACAGTCGTCGGCTGCACCATCGACTTCTCTTCCAAATTTGATGAGTGTGGGCGTTAGGTCGGGATGTACTGAATTTTTTTTTATTTTATTTTTTTCTGGAAAACGGACCTCCAGTCTATTGGTGGGGAGCGGCACATGCTGGGAATCGGGCCCAGCGTCCCTTATCAATTTGAGAGGACGTAGTATAGGGGCCGGGGATGGACTGATGTTTGTCTTACCCTCAGCCTCAGGCGCGTTCGTCTTTTTCCATCTTGCATTCACAAGTGCGTCCACTGTACAGTGCTCTGTGGCGAAAGGGCGGCAAACTGTCGAAGGAAGGCTGACGAATTTATTCTGATAGCCGTGAAATGGTTTTGGGAAAAGTGGTTGATCCCCCCCGCAAAACCTTTGTCGTTATTTCCACCTTAAAATGGAAAACCGTTGTCATACTTCCACCCCGAAATGGACGCGGCAGACGGGAGGTTCCCCCCCCAAAAAAACATTCTCCTTCTTGCACCACCGCTGAGCCGGCAGATCACTTTCCCGTCATTTTTCACAGCGGGCGCTGCTGACGTTACCGGCCCAGCCAGACTCCAGAAACGATGCGAGGCCCCCTGAAGTCAAGGAGAAACCGGTCGCCGCGTCCCCCGCCACACCGTCGGGAACTTCCTTCGAAGGGCGGCTATGGCAGAAGGGGTAGACCCAGGAGCTTTGGCAACTGGGTGGCCGGCTATGGTGAAAGAATAACTTTTTTTTTTTTTTTTTTTTTTTTGTTAAAACACACCCCCTCCAGTGCTTGTGCTGCTGGTAAGAGCAGGCATCACTAGCACCCGGGGAGAGGCTGCTGAGCCGCACAAGAGCGCAGGTGCTAACCCTAGCGCCGCTGAACCCGCGTGCCGGACCTCCCAGCCTGGTGCAAGGTCCTACTTGCACGTATTAGGAGATTTCGGCCGTTGATCTTCGCTATCGACGGTCAATATCGCATAATTCGTGCAAGTGGGACCTAGCCCCTGGTCAGATTGGAGATTTTCCTTCTGAAAGCTCTACCCAGTTTCGCTTGAGGAGCAACAACTGTGTCTTTGTTTTTTGTTGTTTTTCATTTTATTTATTTTATTTATTTATTTTTTCAGTGTTGTTTCCGTTTTATTTGTTGTTTTTCATCGGAATTGTTTTTGTTTTGTTGTTTTTTGTTTTGGGGAGTCATGGGAGCTCGCCTAGCCACACCATCACCGTGGAAACAAAAAACGTACGACTGCATGTTCCCGAAGGGAGTGGCCGGATGCGTCCAGTGGGGAGTCTTTGTTACAGTGTCTTTTCCCCTTGTTTGGTATATTGTCTATTTTCATCATATTTGTGTGTTCCGTGTGCCGCATCCGACACAAGAGCCGAAGCTGTTTGGTATATTGTTGTTTTTCCGACTGAAACTGTGTCACAGTGACTCTTTTTTTTGCGTATTAAACAGACAGTCGAAGAAGTTTGACTCTGCTGGCGTAATTTACAAACCCTTAAACGACTTCCTGGCCCATGCTAATTAATCAATCTTCGCTATATCTTTCCAACCTTAGCGGACGTCCTGAATAATTGCTCCAGGACCTCGTTTTTGTTCCTGAGGCTCAAACGTCAGTTTACACGTGGTAACAAGCCGCCGCTTATACACTCAGCCCTTTGTTGTTTTTGGCACCACCGTTTTTTTCGTGTCGTCCTACATTCCTTTTCGCCTTTCCCGGCAGTTCTGTACGACAAATTAGTCAGAAATACAGATGTGGAGAGAGAGAGAGAGAGAGAGAGAGAGAGAGAGAGAGAGAGAGAGAGAGAGAGAGAGAGAGANAGAGAGAGAGAGAGAGAGAGAGAGAGAGAGAGAGAGAGAGAGAGAGAGAGAGAGAGAGAGTTGTGACGAACGTGAGGGATGATGAGACATGACTTGCAACCTGCAAAAGACGTACCTGCCCGACATACCTGCTCTCTCTCATTTGAAAGGAAAAGCAAACATCTTTCAGATTATTTCTAATGTGCTGCATCTCCCGTATTATTGTGTTGCGGCTTCAACCTATTCTCACCTTTAGCAGGGATGGACGTGGTACTTGCTTGGTCTGGTGCAGGTGGAGCAGGTGCAGCTACGGAATTTGAGTTCCCTGACGCGGCCCTCGGCGCCCAGTCGGCGGGACTCGTGAAGGTGAAGCTGGGAGCCGCAAACCTCCGTTGCGATCTGTGGGCTGAAGCCTGATGGTAACGTAGACCTTGCTATAGGAATAGACGTGGAACCGTAGTCATTGTAGCTGACGGATGACTGAAGTATATAGTACTCAGTAGTGTGCTGAAGCATATGTAGTACTGTGTACCACACCGTGGAGTCAAACGGGCACCTTTTACAGTTGTAGAGTACCTAAGCTAGTTCAGGAGAACTGCTGTTCGATTGCTTTTGTTTTTTTGTGTGTGTGTTTGATAACTTTGATTCATTTTGCTGAAGGCAGTGGAGGGTAGGTGTGTTTGGTTGATAGATAGGGGGGCTTTACACACAACGTGAGAGACGGAGGCGAGAAAGGAGGGACGTCAAGGCAGGAGGAGGTTAAGTTACCTAAGAGGGTATTAAAGTGCACCATGGCCGTCTGCAGTGCGAGGGTTTGGTGTTTCGCCTTGTGCAATAGCCGGCGGAGTATGTCTGCCTTCATTGTGTTGTTGAGCTGTGCGATGCTGTGCCGGAGTGTTATCGGCGACGACTTGGCATCCGCGAATGACAAGAATGCGAGAGAGAGAGCATTTGCCGAAGTCTACAGGGCAGCAGCAACAAGCCTCCATGATGGTCAGCACGCCTTACTTCGTGGTCATGCTCGAGACGTAGATCTCAACGGCCTTGGCAGTCTCAAGAAGACCCCGAAGACAAGTGTGCCATACCTCGAAAGACGCGATCTTCAGGAGCAAGTTGCAGAGCTGCAACCTGTTCGATTTGGCGACATTGAGGTTGCTGCAATCTCCAAGTTCCGCCGAGTCTGGGTGGACGAATTCTCAGGGGCAAAGCTGTACGTGTCTATTTATGAGGCGGATCTGACGGCTGTGGAGCTGGGCCAAGGATGGAGGGTTCTCGGACAATTAATTCGCCCCAACTACAAGGACATCAGTGGCGTGGGCGTCACAATCGTGGCAAGAAATGTGAATTCATCTAATCCCGTCTTGCTCCCACCGGTGGACTACGAGAGGATTTGGATAGACTCGGGGTCAGGGGCAAGTAGACGTCCTGTCAATCGAGCATTCGAGCACCCAATGGATGGGTCGGTGTGGAGACCCCTGCCAGCTCAAGGATACGTGTGCCTTGGCGACATGTTTGTGGGAAGTCACACAAAGCCGGCGCCTGGACTGGACCCGATGGCTGCTCATGTATGTGTACGGGCAGATTACGCCAGGGAAGCAGCCATTGGAGAGTTTGTGTGGGATGACCGTGGGTCCGGTGCAACGTACGACTGCGCGCTCTGGCGCATAGACAACGCGGGGTACATGTGGAGTGTGGAAAGTCTGGTGCAGGGGTACATTGCTTGCAACATTTACGATGAGAAGCCCGTTCGAACGGTACATGTTCTGAGGTTGCCCGCATCCATCCAAAGCATGCGATACGGGGACCTGATGATCGGTGCGACGACATTGTATGTTCCCACGTGGAACGACCGCGGGTCAAGATCCATCAGGGATGTTGCCTTCTTCTCGCCTGCAATCAGTCACGGAGACTTCGACCAAGGGTGGAGGGTTCTCTCTCATCTTGCCGTTCCGCACTACCAAGCAATCAGTGGTCTTGTGGGGACCATTGTGGGGCGAAATGTGGATGGAAGCATACCGATCATCAAAGCACCAGTTAGCTTCACTGCGGTCTGGACGGACAAAGGGTCAGGGGCGGATCTTTATGGGTCTGTGTGGCATCCAATCCCGCCGACAGGGTATGCCTGTTTATCAGACGTTGTCGTCGACTCGTGGGCTGCACCGTCTCCTGGTGTGGGGCCCTTTGTCTGCGTCGCTCTCGATCCGTCTATCGCTAACCAAAGCTACGCCCGCGAGGCTAGCTTCGCCGATGTCATTTGGGACGACATCGGCTCGGGTGCTGAAGCGAATGTCGCTGTCCATGCAGTTCAGGTGGGTGTCTATCCGCCAGACGAGAAGGAGCGCCTATCTCTCCTTGTGAATGGCTTCGTTGCAGGGACGCTCTACGCCGGTCTCCCTAGCGCAACACCTTACTTGCTCGATCTTCCTCCCATCGTGTACAGGCAGGCAGTGACCGCCGTGGCCCCCAATGTCACGTCGTATGAAAGACCTGATCCTCCGGACACGGCCAAAGTTGTGGACAACGCCGTCGTTGTGCCATGCGTGATCGTCAACGACAACAACCACACTGCAGCTTGGCAGGTCGCCACTTCTCCTTTCTACAAGATCGAGAGGCGCATCTACTACCACTTGGAGATGCATGCCAATGGCATGAACTGCAGCTCCGCTGGGGAGATAACCCAGCAGATCACCACCGGCGTCATCACGAACACTACCGAGGAGGTCACATCCAAAACCAACATCCGAGCCTCTTCCGAGACTGGCATTAGTCTTGAGGTGGGCTGGGGTCCCTGGAGATTTGGACTGGGCCGTCAGCTCTCCACACAGGTGAGTGTGACGCGGGAGCTAGGTTACTCAAAACGCACTCAGGTGTCTGAGTTCACTGTCCAAACGTCTGGATGGACCGTTCAAACGAAGCCTTGGCACTCCACCTCTTTGTGGGCGACCAGGCACGAGATTGGTCTATTGCGACAGAATGGGGAGCCCGTTGTCGGTAGTTCGGGCCTGCAGATCAACCTCAACGATAATAGACTTACCATAGACTATCCAAGCACCTGATGAGTCAGTGCCTGAAGCCTCTTAAATCATCCAGGTACAGGCCATGGACCTGGCAGCCATCCTCAACACGGAGAGAGGGGGGTCGGTGCAATCTGACTCACCGACATGGAGCTTAGGAGTGAAATAAGCCCTACCCTTAGATACGTGTCCATGGGGGTCTCCGTCACCTGGAAACGACTACCCTAGCTAGCCCCCCTACCATGAAATATTCTACCCTTATTTGTTCTCCGTGGGCCATCCGAAGTGTTAAATTAGTGAACCCCTCTTACTGATTGCTTGTGATGTGCCGCCCACTGTTCCATCTGTAGAGGGTGTACCTACATGAGATTATTCACATAACCCTTCTAGTTTTTGCTTCGCAGTTGCTGAGCCTGGATGTGCCTGCTTGAGGAAAAATCCCTTACGCATCCTTTTCTGTACACCATGCGCCACCAGCGAACCTGGCCAGTCTCCTCGTCTACACACGCCAGTGGCTTGCTGGCCTCAGATACGGTAGTGAGTTCATTCACGGGACAGATTTGAGGCTCACCACTGAATTTCATTGCACTTCGTTTCAATTCCTTTAGCCCAAAAAATACTTGGCAATAATAAGACTACTCTCATTAGGAGATGCTGCAATTTGTAGTGCTACCCTGTTCCCCTAAATAGGACATAAACACCATTATCATCGCCGCACCTAGACTGGAAGCTCGCCAAAAAACACAGCTAGAAAAGGTCCCAATGTGGAAGCTTAGGACTGCTTTCCGGGTTAGCCGCAAACTTTCGATGATGGATCGAACTTTGAAATCAGTCACATTTTGCAAAAGTCATCAGGAAATAGAATGTCATTTCATATTAGGCCACAACACCATTGAGTACTATTAACTTATACAAGTACATTACAGAGGGCCAGAGTTACTTCCACCTGAAGTTAGGGAAGCACTAAACAGGTGTTTATAATACTTTCATTATGTAATCACTATCAGGTAGGTCAGGCTGTCACAGGCCTTGTTTTCATCAATCAAGTTAATCGTAAAACAATGAAACAAATATCTTTGTTCAAGTTTGTTGGAGCAATGTAAAGCAATTATTTTAGGATCTCTCCGGGGAGTCTGCGGGAGATGGTTCACTACAGATATATCTGCTATTCCCCGATACATTTGCGATTCCCAGATAGATTTGAATTCGTGTTCCCAGACAAAAATTGGTATAGTACCTTGTAGGCTTGTAGACAGATCTGGTCTAGCTACACAGAGTTGGTTCAGTACCTACACAGATTTGGTATAGCTAGGAATCTCAACATTAGGAATGAATCCTCGTGCATCCGACTGGCACATTCGGCGGAGATACTCCTAACTTCAATGGCATTGTTACGCCAGTACGCTTTCGATACGTTCTCAGTTTTTCTGCAGCTTCCATGCTTGCATCAAGGTAGAGGACGAGGTCCTGCCTCAGATCACCAGGTAGATGTCAACATCCATGCTTCATGGTCATTGACAGCATCTGTGGAAGAGCTTCAAGCTATGGCGATGAGCGTGGGCTCATCCCCCTTTTCTCAGCTGTCAATCTCAGAGTTTTGAAGACCATCTTTTGCTTCATCACAGTGCCTTCTCTCTCTCTCTCTCTCTCTCTCTCTCTCTCTCTCTCTCTCTCTCTCTCTCTCTCTCTCTCTCTCTCTCTCTCTCTCTCT